TGGAGGAGAGCGGCCCCCGCCAGCCAGCGCGGGGCCGGCGAGAGCCGGGGAGCACGGCGGCACCGCCGAGTTGTCCGGCTGCCGCAGCCTACCGCTACCAGAGAGTACGAGAAGCTGAGTTCTTTAACAACAACAAGAAAAAGAAAAATACAAGACGACGAAGGATCAGAGCCATTTCTTCCACTGTTCCTTTATCACACCCAGCTGATCTCCACCTGTGTTGCAGTGCCTGTGGGTGTGTAGGTCTGAAGGAGACCAAGGTGGGTCTCTTGCAACTGGAACAGACCTTGCTCTTGGAGAATGCAGGGATAGTGCATGCCTCTTGGCTTCCCAAGTACCACCGCATGAATAACCAGCCGTATCTGCCTGTTTCTGAAACAACATTTTTATTCGTTTCAAGCTTGCAAATACAAAGGCTGCCACACTGAGATTTTCATGAGCCAACCGTAAGCCTGGCATACACCTAAAGCTTCAAGTACCCTTGTTTCTACAGGAACAAGTGAAATAGCATTCAAGAAAGCAGAATAAAAAGCACACTTTAATGGTTATATAATAGGACTTTGAAAAGTCAAAGATGTAACTTTAAGGTTTTAGAAAATAAAAATGTATTCTCTTAGGGTTTTACTTGTAAAAATCAATGCTTTCATCAAGCTGTAATAACCCAAAGAATCACAGAATACATGTTATGACTCCCTGGGTCATACCTGATCTTTTAAATCACTTTCCACAGTTCTTTTATGACTACAGCTCAGTGTTTCAGGTTTCTAAATGGACTGTTAAATTTGCAAGCATATCATGAAGCAATAAAACTACCCAGTCAAGCTTTTCCTTCATTTAGGAATATTTGCTAAGTAATCAGAAGGCCAAATCTCAAAAACTCTCTCAAGTTACACTTGACCTTCTTTCAGAAATGGGCTGCTTTCTTCCTCCCATTCCTCAACATCCCAACTTGTCTTCACCTGCACAGTAACCAGGGGAGTGTCCATCGTGGGTTGGGACTCCCAGGTGAGAAGCACAAAATACAGTACAATAATAAATAAAGTCAATCTTTCAAATAAATAAAAAAAAAGCAGCACTGAATTCCCAGTTATGCATGTCTATAGCTTTAAATCAATTAAATATTTAGATGTGCTGTGGTTTAACCCCAGTGGGCAGCTCAGCCCTCCGCAGCCGCTCGCTCACTTTCCCCCCAGTGGGATGGGGAGAGAATCAAAGGGTAAAAGTGCAGAAACTTGTGGGTTAAGATAGACAGTTTAATAGAGAAAGCAAAAGCACAGCTTTTTACTTACTTAAAAAAAAAAAGTGACTTTTTGAAGCTTCTATGATGTGCCACAAAAGTACTATGAAAATGTAGTGCCGATTCCTTCTAAGAGATCGCTTTCAAAGTCTATTGTCTACATGAATGCTTAAAACTGGACTAAAAACCTCTACAAAACTATGATACAATGAGCACAGATGTGAGACAATCTCAATTTGTCTTTTCCATAATTTTGTCTGTCACTCTCTTCTCACCCCAGCACTGTGAAGTAACTCTTCAACCTATGTGTAGTAAACTTCTGTAACAAACCAGTCAAGAAAATGTACATCTGAACTAGTTGGAAGGTATGGTAATTTGTCTGAACAGAAAATATACCCAATATTGAGTCTCTAATAATAACACTCAGATAAAAAGGAATCAAATAAATTATTAATAAAGATGTCAGTGTTAAATGCACATCTATTTCAGTGTTAAGAGGTGTAATTAGAGAGCTATACTCTTCCACACAGGCAGTTGTTTTAACTGCTGATCTTTCAATTAACACGTTTCTTGGCAAAGTTACTGATTTTCTAATCTCGATTTCAAGACTAGACAACTGTTGGCTTTGATCCTACAAGCACTTACGTACATACTTAAGCTAACGCAAACGAGTATGCTCATTTACTCCCACCTCCTGCGTGGCCAGGCAGCTGTGAGGCACATGAACTCAGGTGACACGCTGCAGGAGAGGAAGGAACCAGGAGATGCTCTCCATGGGCCAGCCCCATAGAGGACCCAGTCCCCACCACCATGCCTCCATCTAGGCATGCTGTGTGAGGAAAGGAACTCACAAAGTCAATTTAGATTCTCATATTCACCTTACGGGAACAAGAAATATGAAATGCAGGATTCGCGAGAGCCTTAAAATCAGGTACAAGGAAAACTCATGAGGAGTTAATAAGAAAACCTCTTTCTTCTCTAAGCAAGACTGGGATTTACTGGCTGAAAATACTCCCTGGACTTGGTTGTGTTACTCACACCTTTGTGTATGGCTAACTGATTCATTATTGGAAAACAAGCAACCAGACCTCATCCCTGAAAAAATTAGGTTCATAGTTATTTTGCCTGCCTCTTGTGTCATGGCCCAGCAGTTAGATGTCACCCAAACGGGTGACTTTGTTCCTACATCTTTCCCAGTCTGTCCAAATGCTCATCCCCTACAACCTTTCGCTGCAGTATCACAGCTAGTAAACTGCAGTCAGGATGGATATAGGGCTGCTTTCTACAAACCTTATGCATTGATGAATAAGACAATATACACGGGTACCGTTTATAAATGCACCTTAAAGCCTCCTTGGATTCCAGCTCTTTTAATTCTCAAATTGCTCCTGCGCATTAAAGATACTGAGATCTATGTAGCCATAATGAAAACTCAGAAAACATATTTTACTGTTCTACTGCTCTGTGCAAACCATTTCAACATACCTTATTCATATCTTAAAATTACTGAGTACGAGAGAACAGT